TCACCATGGGTGGTTGTGCCTGCCTGGGAGCTGGACCCGCTGCCTGGGAGGAGAAGGGCACAGGCTCAGATCCTGCAGCTCCCCCAGGTGCTGCACAGACTCAGCCACTGTGGGGACCCCGTGCTCCACTATCTGTCAACTGTGGGGATGAATAAATGAATGCCCTGCCCAGATGTGGCTCTGCATTAGATGTGACACCACCACTCTCCCCCTTCTGTGGTCCTGGTACAGGAGAGGAGCAGGATGCTCTCCTGGGACTGGGAGGAGTGTCCCTGGTGCCAAAGGCTGGGCTGAACTGCCCACTGAGCTCCAGCATCCCAAATGCCAAGGGATATGCCACGGAGCAGTGCAGGGTCCCCTCCCTCACCTGGGGGCTCTGCAGCCTGGGAGTGTTTCCTGCCCGTGCTCCAGTGCCAGGACTCACCTGTGACACAGGTTCTGGGGAGCACTGAGGGCAGAGTTCCTCACTCAGTTGCTGTTGTCTCTGTGCTGGTATCCACACGTGTTATGTCCCTGTGCTCCCCCTCATCATGGTGAAGAGCATGTGATGGCTCCCCTGCCCCCGTTGCCCTTTAAGGCTGTTCACCTGCACCACATCCTTGCAGAAGACAATTTGGGTGGCAGAAGACTTCCAGCAAATTTGGCACCAAAACAAAACCTGTTCGTCCTCATGTGCAGCAGTGGGATCGTGTGGAATGCAGAAGCCAGGAAGTCACCTGGAGAGATGGCAAAGGGATGGCCAAGGACAGTGTTACTGTAGTGTTCCACATGGATCCAGGTGATTCTGCCAGAAGAAACTGGGGGTGGTAGCCAAGGCCATGGGGGACCATGTGGTTTTCTTGTCAATCCTGTTGTGCAAGGTGGAAAGTAGATGAAGAGGAAACTGATGTTACAGGTCAAGAACTGGCTGTGATGCTGATTTGGGCAACAGTTTTGGGCTCTCTGATCAATGGACACTGTTTGCAGCTCAGCATCCACTGGGCAGAGCTGGGACCCACCTCACCAAGCAGGACAAAGCTACTTCTTCCAGTAGAATGGATGAGCCTGTAAAGAGGGCTTGAAACTGGGAATGATGGGGGAAGGAGAGACGAACTGGTTGTCCTGGGAGGGAGCGACAGACTGGGCTGATGAGCAACGGCCAGGGGGTGATGGGACAGAAATGAAACACATCCGGATGAGGCTCCAGCAGGGTCACCTCCAGCGATGGCATTTTCCCCAGGAAGTGCTGACAATGCTCCACTGTGGAGAAACCGCCAGGCCCTTTCTGGGCAGTCCTTGTGCTGAGGGGCTTCTGGGAAGGGCCTGTCCACTAATGCAGCCCCTGTGGGGAATAAAGAGGGTGAGGCAGAGACCTGGGTGTGGTTTCAGGGATGTGGCCTTGTTGCGATCAGGGCGATGTGATGCAATGGCTCCTCTGACTGCTCTTTTGTGCTGGAGCCACACAGGAGTTTAGGAAGGACAGGCAGGGAAGACGATGATGAAAAGTGACTTGTTGACGACAGTCAAGAATGTGCTCAGGCAGCAGTTAGGCAGGCAAAGGCACAAGGCAACTTTATTTACAGTAGGCTTAGATTTGTATTCTTTTTCTCTGTCCACGTGCAAGCATATTATATTTCATTGGTCAGGTACTCCTGTTCACGTGCCTAAACTCATCTTTTGATAGGTGGTCGACACTTCTTCGCGTTCTGGCAAATCTCAAAACCAGCACCTGTTATTTACAGCAGTTTTTCTCCTTTTCTGCTTTCTCATCCTGGATTGTTTACGTTCCTTACAACTTCACAGCTGCAACTGCTCAAATTCAAGGCCTACCATCCAGTCGTTTCCCACAGCTTGTTATGTGAGAGTCCATGGAGCTCCCCTGGGGATGGATGAGGAGCCAAGGGAGAGCTCCTGGGCTAGGAATAAAGAGAGGAGAGCTCTAGGTGACATTACGGTGGGATTCTGCTCCAGGCCATCTGAGCAGGAAGGACAAGGGAATGAGACCTCTACAGACAGGAGCGGCCTCACATTCACAGGGTCTGGACCTTCTGGTGAAATTCAACAGCTCTAAGAGCTGCTGGAGGGACAGCACAGCAGGACAGCACCAATCCACCAGGTTTCTGGAACTTCCTCTTTCGAGGGATAGAGGAGCTGATGAGGAGTGGGGCTCTGCTAGACCTTCTACTCACCAGCCACAACAGACTTGCTGTTCTGCCAGCCCGTGCCCAGGGACCTGCCCTTAGCTGAGCATATCAAGCCTGGCTTTTGCTATGGGAAACGTTTTGCTCCTCTGAATTCCCCCCTCTGGATGAGATTCTGGCCAAGTGGCTCCAGGTGTCCCTGCTTGGGAAGGGGGTTTGGACCAGATGATCTCTCCAGGTGTCTTCCAGCCTCAACTTCTCTCTGTCTCTGTGATTCTGTACAGGGCACAAGAAATGTCAAACCACAAATTTCAGAATCTGCAAAGTCAGAGGTAGCTGGATCTGTACCAATTCCTGTGTGAGTTTAACTTTCACGTCCCCTTGGCTGCTTATTTTCAGGCATGGTGATAGAAAGTGCATAAGAAGATGAGTGGTGTGATCCAGAGGCACAGAATCCTTCTGAGGTAGTGAAGTATTGACCAACAAAAAATATGGAAGTCAGGAAGATGTTCATAAGTGTTTGGAAAAATCATTCTAGTGTCTTGTCTGCATCACTTTATTCCCTAATTTGGGTTGTAGTTGAAGAAATACTGGAGCTGAAATTTCAGTGTCCTCAGGAGAAGTCATTAAGGGAATTGTGTGTTGCTTCCTATTTTTTTATTTTCATTTCATTTTTCCTGAGCTGGACCTCCCAGCCCCCTGCATTCCCTGGGCTCTCTGTGTTGGGAAGTGTTGGTGCTGCTGGAAGACTCGGATAATTTTTAGAGCATTTCTCCCTCCTGTGACTTGGTGCCTGATCCTCCTAGAGACAGAGAGGAATTGAGGTTGGAAGAGGTCATCTGGTCCAACGCCCTGCTCAAGCAGGGACACCTGGAGCCACTTGTGCAGAACCTCATGCAGAGGTTTTGAAGATCTCCAAGGACAGAGACTCCATCACCTGCCCAGGTAACAGTGTCTGTCTCAGGGACCAGTGTGGGGCTCATTGCTCATGTAGCTGTCCCTGCTCCATTTCTCTCTCCATATGACATCCCTTGCAGATGTACCTTGGTCGGGTAAGAGGGAACAGGCACAAGCTGCAACATGAGAAATTCTGTTTCAATGTGTGGAAAACTTTTTAGTGCTTTTTATCATGAGGGTGATCAAAGATTAGAACAAGCTGAGTAAAATCCATCCACAGAGATTTTTTTTTTCCCTTATTGCTACAGGGTAAGGGGGAGACTGGAAATAACTCTGTGAAGCCACTGCCTCTGGCATTGCATTATGGCCATAACNATTTGGGGATATTGAGGAGTAAATTTGAGGCCAAAATTGCATCCTGATGTGAGGCTGCTGCTGTCTGACGTGTGCTGGTTAAGGATGGCTGGATCCTCACCTCATTTCTCAGGAAGCTGAGCCTCTCAGGCCTTTCCTTTTTCAAATGAGGCAAGTAAAGCTGCTGAGATGACCAAGACTTTACCAAAGGGGTGCCCTGCCCCAGGCACACATTGGCTCCCATCCTGTGGACACAAGAATTGAGTCTCTGAGCTGGCCTGAGTGGAGCCAGCACAGCTCCTCCACACTCTGGCTGTGCACAGCTGCTGAGAGCTTGGGAGAGGCCAGGCTGGCAAAGGGCATTCCCAGTTGTGTAGAATGGGCTTAAAAATCCCTCTCCCAGTGAGGTGTGGAGGTTCAGCCCAACATCTTCACTGCACAGCCCAGAGCATGGAAAGCCAGGGCTGAGCAGGAACTCTGCCTCCCACCTCTCCCTCTCTTTTCCTTGCAGGGGCCTGCAGAGAGAGATGCCAAAGGTGAGCAGCAATCCCCGTGGGCTGTGGGGCTGGGGGGTGATGGACACGTGGCATCCCAGCCCTCTGGGGTGGTCCTTAGGCAGGGGCAGCCTGGTGTGTGCCTGTGGGTGGATTCCCCCATGGTGCAGGCAGGGAGGAGCAGGGCTTGCCCTGCCTTGACTGCAGCCATGGACCTGGTACAAGACAACACCATCCATGGCAATGACTTCAAAGGGCTCATCAGGGTCTGGACACAGACCCCCAAACCCTTTCCCCCAACTCTCTCCAGACAGCAGCAAGTTCCCAGCCAGGAGGCTGAAGGGACTGAGGACAATGAAATGCATTGTGAGTACCAACCCCTCCCTTTGGGTGACACACGGACCCCTCTGTCTGTGGAACCCCCCTCTTGTGTCCTGGCTGCCTCTGGCACCACCAGCAACCCTGAGACCATCAGCCAGCTTGTGGCACTGCCTCAGGAGCTGCACTGAGTTATAGGGACCTGCCCCAAACCCCCTTTCCATCCTCTCCATCTCTCCCCTCATTGCAGGGCCTTTCCCAATTCCACATGCAATCCCAGCAATTAATGTCCCAGCAGGATTTGCAAAACAACTGCCCACTGAACAAGGGCAGATTTCTCCCCGCATTGTTGCTCCCCAGCTTCTTCCCTGCACACAGGGCCCAGCTCCTGCCTGCACAGGAATGGTGAGCACAGACTCCCATCCCTGCTCTGCATCCACAGATGGAAGGGCAGCTTCCTCTGCTGCCAGGAGTGGGGTGAGCTTACAGGCAAACAGGGCAGGGGATCAGTGCTGACCCCGGGGGATTTGCTGTTCAAAGGCAGGGTGGGGCTTGTCCCGACCAGAACAGGAAGCAAAGGCTCACTCTGTGCTTTTTGCCCCCCACCAGACTCCACCATCGCCCACGTTGGACGTAAAGGGGTGAGTTGTGGCACAGCCTTGGTGCCAAAGCAGGGAGCAGGGCCCTGGGGATGGGTATCAGGGTCTGTGCAGGTGGGTTGGGCTGGGGAGTCTCAAAGGGCCAACCCCACCAAAAACAAACGGGAACCACTTGGGGAAATTATATTTATACTTTTTTTTACCAAAAGTAAATTATTTTGTCTTGTTTTCTTCTGCAAGCACTTTCCCTTTAAAAATGGTTCTCAAGTAAATGCCTAATGTAAAATTTGTGTATATTCAAGTGGGAAAGAAAGATAAAGAACCCAAGTTTTGCAAAAACAACAACAAAAAGCAATTAGAAACACAATATTGATTCCAATTAGCCCTTATTCCTGCTGCCATGTTAGTCAGTCCTAGTTATGCAGCTCTCCTGCAGCCCAGAGCCAGAGGCTTGTGCAGGGCTTGCAGCCAGCAGGGGAAATAACGGGCTCTCCTTTTCTCTCTGAAGCCTCGTGTGCAAGAGCTGAACAGCAGCACAACCTATGCCCCGGTGAGGCTCTCCCACGGCCAGCCCAGAGAGTGCTCCAGCACGGCCAGTGCCCGGGGAGAATGGCCCAGCCCGGCCTGTTCTCTCTGACAGAGCTCCTGAGCTGGGAAAACGGGGCTGGAGGATCCAGGCTGGGCTTGCTTGGCCTTTGCTGGGCTGGGCAAGGG